TATTATTGAAGTTGTTACAGACATTGTGAAAGGTATTACAGTTTTTTGTCCCTTTTTTGTTTGTGGGTTATCCACATTAGTTCATTTTAGATTTTAGTTAAATAATTTAGATTTAAGTTTTTTGTATAAACAGTTTTAAGCACTGAGTCCAACTTTTGACCTATCTGGTAATGTGTTTGTGAGATATTAACTTGAATCCACAGTAAGAATTTAAGTCTTCCTGTGACACATGAGAAACTGTGCTACACAATGGAAGCAGAACAATAGCACAACATGGAAAAGATGGGTACTACTAGTTCTATTTACATTTGCTAGTTACATTTCACAGATAGAAGCTATGGAATACTAGTGATTCCCCATCTGGATTTTGGAGTGTTAAAATAATACACAGAAAAAGTAAGATTTCCCCCATTTGTTTCTGTGACATTGCTATAGAATATATATTACCAATTTTGATGTACATGAAAATCCATGGCATACTTTTCAGATTCACAGATCAGCACTTTAAGCTAGTGCTTGACGTTTGGAAATTCAACAGCCTAAGTAGCCTAAGATATTTCCATTTATATTAATCTGCAATTCTGGATTCTGCAAATGACTGGATGTTTAGATAATAAGTAATGATAGACCATCATAAGTTTCAGTTAAATACTTGCCAAGTGTGTGTGTATGTTGTTTAATATTAGATTGCTCCTTTTCAGTAGCATTTATAACCTCACCATCATATGAAAGACAAAATAACTAGAATGGTACTGAACTGCAGTTTTTATTTTTTTATTTTCTCCATGTGATTTATGAGAGCTCTTGTGTACTCAATGAATAAATAAGCTATTACAAATGAACAATAAAACTAACAATCTTTACATTCATGTGTAAATGGGCTGCAGAGTACAATTAAACTTTCATTGGCTGCTAAAAATGTAGGTTTATTAAAGTAACTACAGTATTGAAATGAGTGAATTATTAAAAAAACAGGTTTATGTTTATGTAACTATAAAATTATTTGTAAAGTTATATATCTCAATTGAGAACACTTGTTAACATACTATGTTACTTGCTTCAAAAATGGAGAGAAAGCAAAATGTTTCAGGTTGTTGTAGCTGTCAGGTTAGGCATTCCTAACTTCAGCCATAGCATAGTTTCTTGTAGTGGCACCTGCTTGAATGCTTGAAAAATGTACCCAGGAATCTGTATTGAAATACTATTTTATGGTAATACACTGCA